AAATTCCCCGCAGTACTTGGATAGTCTTTGCAGTGGTGGTGGATGAGACAGGTACAACCTCAAGCCATTTTGAATAGCTATCAACCAGGACCAAGAAGAATTGACCCTGAAAGGGCCCAGCATAGTCAATGTGCACCCTAGACCATGGGGACTGTGTTTCCTCCCACCTATGTACGGGAGCCTGAGGCATTTCTGGGCGTGAGCTTTGACAAAGGTGACAAGCATGCACCTTAGCCTCAATTTCCTTATCTAACCCAGGCCACCACAAGTGGCTGCACGCAAGCGCCTTCATTTGAACAATGCCAGGATGACCCTCGTGAAGGGACCCTAAGACTCTAGACCTCATTGAGGTAGGAATGACAACTCTGCTACCCCACAGCAGACAGCCTTGGAAGGTGGACAACTCGTTCCTTTTTAACCAGAAACTTTGAAACTCAGTACCTGGACAACTCTCTGGCCATCCAGACAAAACCCAGGATAAGACTCGAGAGAGTGTAAGATCTGTGGCTGATTCAGCAGCCACATCCCTGGCGTTAAGGGGTGACTCAGGCAGTGCTTGAATTGAAAGAATATTGATTGCCGGGGCAGGGTCAGCCTCAACTACCTGTAAGGGTAATCTACTGAGGCCATCAGCATGGCCCATTTCTTTGCCCGGTTTGTGAATTAAAGAAAAGTCATAAGCTGACAGAAAGATTGACCATCTGAGCATTCTGGGAGAGATAATGTGAGGGGTCTGTTTGTTAGTTGTAAACAATCCCAACAAAGGCTTATGGTCAGTGTAGACCGTGAAATGTCTGGCATATTAAAAATCATGGAATTTTTTGATTCCAGCAACAACAGCTAAGGCCTCCCTGTTTATCTGGGCATAGTTCCTCTCAGCAGAGGATAAAGTTCTGGAGTAATATGCAACAGGAACCTGAGTTCCATCAGGTGTGAGATGGCTGAGTACAGCTCCTACGCCATAAGGGGAAGCATCACAAGCAATGCACACGGGGAGTGTTTCATTAAAATGTGCAAGCACATTGTTAAATGTTAGCAAGGCCTTAACCTTATTGAAACTTGCTTCGTTTGCTTGTGATCATTCCCACACAGCTTGTTTGTCAAGAAGCCTATGAAGTGGTTCAGCTACATCAGCCTTGTTAAGAATAAATGAATTGTAGAAATTCAAAAGTCCCAGAAAAGCTTGCAGTTCAGCTTTGGACTTAGGTCTGGGAGCTTGTGTGATAGCTTTTAATTTGGACTTAGCAGGATGAATCCCATTGGCATCAATTCTGAACCCCAGAAAATCTGTAGAAGACACCCCAATTTTACATTTGTCCTTTTTGAGTTTGAGTCCTGTTTTCCGAAACCTCAGCAGGACAGCCCTCAATCTTTCAGCCAGATTTTGGATAGACTCTACAGCAATTAAGACATCATCAAAATAGGGGCAAACCCCAGGAATACCCCTCAAGGTATTTTCCATTACTCTTTGGAAAATTCCAGGAGCTACGTTTACTCCAAATTGCAGTCTCTTGACCTTGAATGCCCCCCTATGAGTTACAATGGTTTGTGTCACAGCAGCAGCTTTGTCCACAGGCAACTGTTGGTAAGCTTGAGCTAAATCAAGCTTTGCAAAAATACGCCCCCCTTTGAGGGAAGCCAGAATGTGGCTGACAATAGGCACAGGATAGGCATGTTGTTGTAATGCCTTATTGAGCGTGCATTTGTAATCTGCACAAATGCGAATATCCCCATTAGCCTTAAGAGGCGTTACTATGGGAGTTTCCCATGGACTGGAGTCAACAGGTTCTAAGACTCCTTGCTGAATCAATTTGTCCAATTCAGCATCAATTTTCCCTTTTAAGGCAAACGGTACCCTTCTTGCCTTTACTCTGATAGGAGTGACAGTGGGGTTTAATTTCAAAGACACTGGGGGACCCTTGTATGCGCCCAACTGAGGGCTGAATACATCTGCAAATTCCTTGCAGACTTCCTGTAAGTCTAACGTTTGCAAGCTGTTGAGCCCTGTAACTTTTATTCCCAGGGCCTCAAACCAATCGAGTCCTATGAGACTCATACGATCACCCCCCACTACCAATACATCTAATGGACCTTCAAAATCCTTATACTGCACGTTAAGGGTGGCCTCCCCCTTAACACACACTTTGGAGTTTTGAAAATCTGTTAGAAGGCCTAAGCTTGGCCTGGAACCCACTGTCAGAACAAATCTTTCTGAATGTGTGAATGGAGATGATTGAAAGTGCAGACCCAGTGTCTAGTTCCATGACCAATGGAACTCCTTGCAATTTCACCCTAAGTGACAACTTCTTTTTAAGTGGTCTGTGTGTGCCTGTCTTAAAAATGCTTCTTCGTGAAGCACAGAAACCCACCCTGTTTTGGCTGGGGACCCTGGTACCTTTCAGGCGCAATTCTTCCAAGGGTTGTACCTTCTGTCAGCCCAGACACACAGCTGCTATGTGGCCTTGCTTCCCACATGCTCTACAGATTGCAGAACGGAACTTGTAGTCCGTCCTCTTGTGGCGACTTCCACACCCGAAGCACTTGGGTACAGGTGAAGACTTTTCTTTGCCTCCTTTGGTTGGGTAGAGATGATCTATTTCTTCATCAGGCTCCTCTTCTGAGCTTCCTTGAACTCCCTCGTGATGCACAGAAACAGCTTCTGGAAAGCTTTTGATGGGCCTCATATTTTTGATTGCCCCACTTGCTGCCTCTTCTGCAGTAACCTCTCTCAAGGCATCTTGGAATGATATGTCCTCTTTGGCAAAAAGCCTTTGTTGTACATCTCTGTTTCTCAGTCCACATACAAGTCTGTCTCTCAGTCTTTCCTCTAAGTCTTTAAATTCGCAATGCTTAGCTGCCTTTCTTAATGCAGCAATGTACTCTTTAGCTGATTCATCAGCCCGTTGATCCCGCTGTTCAAAATTATGTCTCCAAGCAATAACAGACAACTTGGGTTGAAAATGCTCTTTCAGTAATTTCTTAAGATCTGTGTAGGTAACAGATTCAAGAGGTGCAGGGGCTACTAAGTTTTCAGCAATTTCAAATGCATCTTGACCACAAACGCAGAGTAGTGTGGCAGCCTTTAAGCCCTCTTCTCTTACTTGATTAACTCTGAAATAATTTTCTGCTCGGGCCACGTAAGATTCCCATCTTTCGGGATGTGTAATATCAAACTCTGAAAGTTTTCCAATCTTTGCCATTTTAGTAAAGCAGGAAGGGTCTATCAGCCAGCTTACCTCCAATGAAGCTGTATTGGCAGGCAGTTGCTGAATTTAACACCGTTTCCTCGCTGTGCTTGACTCCAGGGTAAGCTTACAATTGTTTGTGTAATTGCAAGGCTATCCCATCCTCGTCGCCAGTGTTGAGTCCTCGGCTAATGGCAATGACGACGCGAGACATTCTTGATGTTCAGTAACCTTCTTTATTTCTCTTCAGCAGCCCCGTTACAACTCAAGGCAGCACGGACTTCTCAGCCTCTCTTAAGGACGTTTTTCCCCAGGCCAAAAGGCAACATTTAGGCACGCGAAGCGCCTCGCACATGTGCGCGAGCGCTGGCGCCAACCAGTCTGGTCCTGGGCAACTTGCAGCTGCCCGGGACTGTTGCAACGCCCCGAGCCTGCCCTTTTGCAGGCTCAGGACATAACACTTCTGCAGTACAGGTACTCCTTGATTTATAACCATTTGTTTAGCAACTGTTTGTAGTTACAACAGCGCTCAAAAAAGTGACCTATAACCAGTCCTTGCACTTATGTCCACGTAGCATCAAAATTCAGGCACTTGGCAACTGGCATTTATTTTCACTGGTTGCAATGTCCCAGGATCATGTGATTGTTAATTGCAACCCAAGCAAGTGGCTTCCAACAAGCAGCCAAGGGGGGAAGCTGGATTCATTTAATGAGCATGTAATTCACTTAACAATTGTAGTGACTCACTTAATAACCACATCAAAAAAAGACTGTAAAATCAGGCATACTGGAATTTGGTAAATTGCCTGGTTTGCTTCATGATTTACAAGCTGATGGTCTATGATTTTGCAAGTCAGTATCTGCTCATTTGTGACTCTTAAAGTGAGAGTTCCTTGGAAGTCAGTCTAGTTGTAACCTTGATTAATCAACAGAAATATATGGAAATACATGATTTCAGCTATGCTTGTCATGCTTTGGGGGCTTTTAAAATAAAGAGGCTACAGCCAATTTTGAAATAAAGGGGCTTTATTCGATACAAAATTCTAACTCCTCCTTAGTACATACACACCCAGTTAATGGCCAGCTAGAACAAACCCTGGTTTACTAACATTTCTTAATGGTTATATCATATGTCAGTGGTGGCAAACCTATGGCACAGATACCAGAGGCGGTACTCAGAGCCCTCTCTGTGAGCACACGGGCACGCGTGCCATCACCCCAATCCTAGGCCTTCAGCTGGGTTTTATAAAAGCTTTTCACTTTAGACCTCGCTGCCATATGCAAAAAAAAAAAAGTTCAATCAATCAATTTCAACTTCTCACAGAAAAAAAAAATCTTACAAAGTTGGGATTGATTGAACTTTTTAGTCCCACCCAATCTGCCGTTACTACCACAGCAACACCCACCTAATGGGCCAGGCCCACCCAGCACTTGATGATCCATAAGTAGGTTTTGGGTTGCAGTTTGGGCACGCGGACTCTAAAAGGTTTGCCATCACGATCATACGTAACAGAATTTAGAACCTGGCTAAGAAATTCTGGGAGTTGAAGTCCACAAGTCATAAAAGGGCCAAGTTTGAGGACTTATGATTTAGAGAGATGAGAACCGAGGGCTAGTTTGGTGTAGCACTCAAGGCATCAGGCCCTAGGAAGCAAGCAAAGAGGCAAACCACTCCCGTAACACCTTGCCAAGAAAACCGCATGCGGTTGCGTGTAAGCAGTCGCCCGGACTCAACACTGACTCGAAAGCACCAAATAAATAAATAAATAATAAACAATAATAACCAACGTTAACGACTTTAATCAGTTACAGAACTTGAAAGCGAGCACGGGCGTCTTTCTACACGCCAAGATAAAAGCGAAGTTGCTTTCTGTCGAGTTACGCCTTTGGGTCGGTAATTTGGCTTCTTCTTTACTTGGCGGGAGAGGCTGTCTCGGATTAACGGCCGCGTCCTCCCCGACCTTCGCGGGCATTTTCTAGCAAACCGAGGGCTGTTGAAGAACTAACCCGGGGTTTGACTCCCCTTCACCGCAGGGTCCCGCTCTCTTTTAGGCGAAACTAAGGTAATCCGAGGCTAGTCCGCCGGTCCGCCTGCATCTGCCCCTCCCGCTGTCAGCCCGGTGCTTCTGCTCAGCACTGATAGCGAGGCTGCCTGGAGCGCCGCTGGGCTATTTCGCAACCTTCAGTCTCAAATGCTCGCCAACCGACAGGCGGTTCTCCGACCCTCTGCTCAATCTGAGGCAATGGCGGGCTGCTTCGGCAGCAAGCTTAGCCCCGCCCGTCTCAGGTAGAGCGGGCTGCCTAGAGAGGCTCATCTAGGCTGCCGCCCGAGGCCAGGCGCGCCTGGCAGTCCTCGCTTCTGGCGCCGGCCGGCCTCCGGGGGGTGCTCTTCGGTCGCTCTTCCGGCTTGCTCAAAAGTTGCGCTCCGGGGCTGCAAAATAAGTACGTTTCCGGCCCTTGGGCAACCTCCCCCCTCGCCCTCCCGCTCCCATCTCCTTCGGTCGGACAACCCAGCCCCGAGTGTCGTCGCGCACGACCGGAGCTCCCTCTGAGAGGAATCCCCCACCCGGGTTCCCCCCTCCGCTTTGAGGGACGGAATGGAGGCGGCCGCCAAGCGGGGGCTGCTGGTACAGCTGGCGCTGCTTCTGACTTACCTCGAAGGTAAGGGTCGGCCGGGGGTCTCCCGCTCCCTTCGCCAGAAGGACCTGTCCTCTGCCTCCCCCCACTACCACCTTTTGCATTTCCTTCTACTTTCTCCATCCCCGGGACGGCGCGGGGGCTAAGCCCGCCTATTTGGACCTCCTGCACATACCCCCACCCACAAAGGAAGCGCAGAGGGGCCAAGCGGGGCCCGGTTACACCCCCCCCCCCGCCACCGCTGCGGCTATAGGCGAAGGCTGCCCTCGGGCGTTCTTGCCTTCCTGCGCCGGGTGCCCGGAGCAATCTCTGAGGAGTCTGCGAGATCCTTTTGGCTGAAGGCGAAGCCTTGAGTGGAACTGGCGCCCAGGCACCTGTTTCGGTATAAGGGATGGCTCTGCTCCGGAGCTACTCCTGAATAAGAAGCGCTTGAGAAGTGGGCACGGATCATTGGCTTGAAAGCAACTTTTTGGAGGATGGGAGGTGATGGGGCGAGTGCTGAAGACATCCAGGCTGAAACCACTAAAAAACCAAGGCATTTAAAAAAAGAGGGAGAGGGAGAAAGAGAGAGAGAGAGTGTGTGACTGACCTCAAGTCACCTAAGCAGGGCACCAGCACAGTGAGCCATGTGGTGTCCGGTTTGCAAGTGTTGGGCAAGCAGATGCTGAAGAAGCCAACAATCCTCCAGACTTCAATTATGTTGCACTGTAAGGGCTTCTGGGTCCATTTAAGTGACTATTCTTACTTTTCAGTTTGTCAGCTTATACTGCTTTGGTTTTATTAAATTAATGTTAGCATTCAGAAGATGCTGTCACTATTTGGATCCGTCCCTCCCCATCAAATTTGTGCTCTCCAAGAAATAATTTTAGAGGCCTAGGGAGGTGGTTAGAATTTTCTATTAGAAAGCATAAGTCTGTCTCAAGATCTGGTCTATACAATGTAGGTTGTTTTTGGCTTAGTGTGATTTGATTGAGGCTCTACTAAAATTATAGTTTTTAAGCAATGGTTTCTTTCATCACACCAAGGCAAAAGCAAAGAAACCACATTAAGATGAAGCATAATATGTAAAACCTTTGCTTCAGCACCAGAGCCCCTGAAAAGGAATAATTACTGATGTTTATTAATTCTAAAATGTTTATTGAAAAAGTCCTGCATTCATAAGACATAAATCTTTAATAGAGGACTCTTTCTCTCTTTCCACAATGCCTAAGAGGGGAACTTGGGGGAGGGATGTTCTTGTTATATTGGCATTCGGAATGCAACCACTCAATGAAATAATTATTCTTATAAAAATTAAAGAAGGATTACAAATGTTCTGTATGATATTTTACCAATTTAAATCTAGAATTCAGAAACAAGATTTCTATATATTTCCGTACTTGGATCTGAAAGCCTGTAAAATTAATAGCTTAGAGCAGTGGTTCTCAACCTTTTTAATGCCGCAACCCCCAACCGGTTGTAAGTGGAGGACTACTCAACCGGTCATAAGTCAAGGACTACTCAACTGGTGCAGCACCGTTTGCAGAATGGGACTTTTGGCGGGCTCAGTAGGGCAGAGACAGCCTGGACAATTCCTATTGGCTTTTGAAAGTCAATAGAATTAGAGTCTATTCAAGAGAGTCTATTCTATTGGCTTTCAAAAGCCAATAGAATAAAAGGGAGTAGCACAGCTAAGGAAAAGGGGGAAAAATGGCAGACTGTGTTGTTTGGCGACCCCGTGAAATGGTCGTTCAACCCCAAATGGGGTCCCGACCCACAGGTTGAGAACCACTGGCTTAGAGAGTCTCAAATTGTAAGAAAAGTTACTAGATAGAAAGTACCTAAATTCAGAAAAAAAGGTGAGGAACATCTGTGAGGTGGAAAAACATATTCACCCTCTTGTTTATATAGGATTTTGTAGTCAAACGAATTAGGAGATCTTACAGAGAAAATAATTTGTTTCATGAATTATGAATATATACTAATTACCTAGTGGGAAATTAAACATAAGTTCTTACAACATGAGATTTAGTTTTAGAACAATAGGTGAACAATATAGGCCATTATTGGATGAATGTGGGAGTTGTGAAAAAAAAGGAATGAAGATCTGGAAAACTGCAATGTCTTTTTAAGAATTAAACTTTTGCTTAGGAGGCCAACAGCTTGTCCAGTGATGGAACAACATTCTGTAATAATACTTTAAAGTCAATGAGTAAGGCAGTTATAAATAACCACAAAATTAAAGATCTGAAGATATATTGCAAGAGGATTGAGCAACTTATACAGTATTTCTTTATCCTAAATTTCTCAGCAATCTCCTCTACCACAAGTTTTAAATGTGAGAAATTACTAACAATACCTGTTTGAAGGGTCCGACAAGTTCATGGAAGACTGACAAAGAAGAGTACAATAGATCAGTTGTTGAATTTTGCTCATTGCCCTATTTTGTTGTGTGAACAAGATGTACATAACTATATGGGATTAGATCCACCTTGTTTAAAGACTCTCACATTTTGAACAGCAGCACTTACCTCAGACTGAAAACAAGGGAGAACATATAAAGTTGTTAACATCAACAGACTTCTCACATTTTATAAAAGGTGCTTACGAAGTTGTTGACAAAGGCAATATGCTTTTTAAAAATTCATTTTAAAAGAATGAACTAAAGTGTTTTTGGCTAAATATAAAAGTGGATATAGTTCCTATTTTGCCCTGATTCAACAGCCACTGCTAATTTATAGAGGGAAATGAAGTAGTTACACAAAGCTTAGAAAAGATAGATATTACTGTAGAGAGGCTGCTAAAAGTAATCCTCAACTTATATCCATTTATTTAGTGACCATTCAAAGTTACAAAGGCACTGAAAAAAATGACTTACAACCATTGCAGCATCCCCATTCACACAATCAAAATTTGGGTGCTTGGCAACTGGCCTATATTTATCATAGTTGCAGTGTCCTAGAGTCATGTAATTGCCATTTGCAACCTTCTCAGATAGGTTCTGACAAGCAAAGTCAATGGGGAAATTAGGTTTGCTTAAGGGCTGCATGATTCACTTTAACAAGCGTGGCAAAATTTTAAAATCTTTGTATTGATTTCATTATAAAGATTTCATTAGAAAGAGCAGGGACACTTCATCTTAGTATGTTGTTCTGCAAGTTTCATGGTAACATTCAAAGACTGAAACTGAGCAGGGTGTAAAGGAAAGTCTATCATAGTTCTGCATGAAGGTTGGGGATTTTCACTCAAGATAACAGAAAAGGAAAGTGTAATTATTGTAGTGGGTCTGAGGAATTGGTGATTTTGGCAGTTTGACATAGAGGGGGAAATTTCTTTATAACTTTTCATGTAGGGGCAACAATGGAACTGCAGCTATTAAAGTGTGGAGTCTTGCTATATGGTGCACAGGATTGCGCTTACAAGGATATTTGGGCATTGGAAACTGTTCAAGCTAAATGTTTAAGATTTCTACTTTGAGGCCCCCATTTTCTTGCTAATGTACTGCTAATGTTAAAGTTCATTTCATTCGAGTTCAGTTGCAATTTTGCTGGTCAAAATATTGTCTTAAATAAATTTGAGGATAAGGAAAAAAATGTCTAACTAATACTCCCTCACTCTATATGTGTATATATAGGCTTAGGTGAAGCCTGGAGAGAAATTAAGCAAAGAATTTTAGATTCCAGTTTACAAAGAAATAGAACCAACAGACCACATTTATGCAGTAATGAGAGTTCACACCCTCCCTTTACTATAATTTGTATCATTGCCTGGTTCCATCTCATAGGAGAGCCTTCACATTTGCACATCTAGACATTCTATCATTAATGGTGCTGCTGAGTAGATTGAATGGTACTCCTTATCAAGAGCATATATATATATACCTGTTCAGACTCTGAAACTGTGCTGCACATTTTTCTGGATTGCCCTAGCGATCATATCTGTAGGGTAATCTCCTTTCTGATTACAAACTATCCTGATCATTCCCCACATGGTAATCATGCACTATCCACTAAACAACTAGGATCAGGAAGTCTGTAGAACTATAGCCAAATTTTGTAACATATGAGTGCAAATCAGGCATGAAATAGAGTTCAGTGGAGTTGAGCGGCTAATAAATTTAAATAAGTAAATAAATAATGATGAACAAATTTCTAATGAACTTCTGTGTTACAATATATTTTTTGTTTCCCTTTCTCCTTTTGTTTTCATTTCTGTGCTTGGTCTATAACCATATTCTTTAATAAACTGAAGCTGAATTGGCCTAATTCTAACAATATATTTTTCAAATGTTCTTTTTTCTAACTGTTAACATACTTCATTATTATTACCGAGTCCTGCTATTCATCCTAATCAACTGCAAAAATATGAACCAGTGGACAGTTCTAAATTTATATACATTAAGGAATATAAAACTATGTAACAGTATTTCCAACCTCCTTGAAGGCAGTTTCAATTATTCATCTTATTTATGCCTGGAAATAATAGTGTGCAAATTTTTTGTTATTTGTTTGTCAGGTCTCAGTTTCTAACTTCTAATTTAGCAGATGCACATTGCCCTTTTAAAAAAAAAGGATTAGAGGCAAAATTAGAGGCTTTAATCAGAGAAAAGAATATATCTAGTTTTATTTCTGTCTAGAAACCACTTCTAGTCTTTGTTCCAGAGACCAAAAAAAATAAATAAATAATTTTTGACTTTGGATTTTGCTGATTAGTTTGTCATTATAGAAATGACTAGTATTTACTAAGTATATAAAAGTAAAAAGTTGAGGTTGTAATTCTATTTTATATTTTACTGAGCTGAAAAAAATTAGAAGTCAGTGCTTTTTGTTTTTCCCCTTTATCCTACATCCCTCTTCCCCTTTTCTTTCTCCATTTCCCCATTATCTTTATTTTCATTTGTGTTTTATACTATGATACTCTGAATAAAAATTATATATATAGAATATATATATATATAAACTGAATTATTAACGAAGGCTTTTTAGCAATGTGGCCTCATGTGATTAGGCAAGAATATGGTATTTAGCCAGCATTTGGTAAGTGGCTTATATCAAAAGAAAAAAAAGGAAGAAAACCTGCACAGATATACAAGAAGGCAATTTTGAAATATAAAGTTACATATTCAGCATTTCTTCAAGTGGAAGTGGTAAATCCTTGCCAAGAATATTTTGTTTGAATTAATAATATGCTCCTCTTGATGCATCTCTTCCTAATTTTGTTCATACTTGATTGCATGCACTGAATTGTGTATATAATTGCAGCTTATGCTAAGTAAATTATTTTCCCTGTTGGTTTTGTTATTTTTTTTTAAAAAAAACCTGACTACCTCCCCCCAAAAACAGCTATGATTAAGCTAAAATAAAATATTAAGAGCACAGAAAGTAGGATTTCAGTGAAGTTATAATTTCACTCAAAACAGAAGCTTAGGATGAAATTACATTTATTTGAACAGTATTGCATTATTTGGTATATGACATTCTGTTTTCTTCTCTACACAGTACATTCTGCAACTTTCAAAATCATTACCCCTTATTCACTCTATGTGTGTCCTGAAGGTCAAAATCTCACTTTGAGTTGTAAAATCAGTGGGGCTCTCGCCAATCACCATGATTTACTCTCCACTGTTTGGTACTTCAGCAACAAAGATGACCATAGCTGTTCCCAAGGAAAGCATATCCGCAACATCACTGCTAAGGAGCTTCATCATGAAACTGAGAAGCACCATAAACAACCTCATATGAACGTCTCCGCTGAGAAATATGCTCAAGGTCATCAAGTCAACCATCATGGATTGGAATTCTTTTCGAATCATCATGGCACTTTCCATGTCACTATAGCAAATCTTACTCTACAGGACAGAGGATACTACTGTTGTTATATAATAGAGACTAAGAGAGAAAACAACAAGCCACATATCCTGCAGCATGCTTATGGCTTCATGGAACTTCGTATACAGAAAGGTAGAACACTGTGCCTAAATCAGATATAGTTAAAATTAAGGGTCTGTATTTCTCACATTCTCCTAGGAATGTCTATAATGCAAGATGAATTGGTCTTGATCAGTGGTTCTCAACCTTTTTAATGCCGCGACCCCCAACCGGTCGTAAGTCAAGGACTACTCAATTGGTGCAGCACCGTTTGCAGAATGGGACTTTTGGCAGGCTCAGCAGGGCAAAGACAGCCTGGACAATTCCTATTGGCTTTTGAAAGCCAATAGAATTAGACTCTATTCAAGAGAGTCTATTCTATTGGCTTTCAAAAGCCAATAGAATAAAAGGGAGTAGCACAACTAAGGGGGAAAAATGGCGGACTGCGTTGTTTGGCAACCCCCGTGAAATGGTCGTTTGACCCCAAATGGGGTCCCGATCCACAAGTTGAGAACTACTGGTCTTGATGAAATTCCAGGAAGACAGTCAAAACAGAAAAAAAAATGCTTAAGACAGAGTTATAGGGGAAAACTTTCCTTCCTGTATAAAAATAGGTTTTGAAATAATGAAAATAGATTCCCTTTCTTACAGTTATTAAAAAGTTGCTGCATCGAAGTGAGAAACATTTTCCCTTGATCTGAAACTTGGTGCTACAACTTAATAGATTATATGCATCTGTTTGCTTGAAATTATGATCCACATCCTATTTTCTGATGAGCTGAAAAATATCAAATCAAATAGTACCTTTATTTTTTGATTTTTGTATTTATTAAATTTATATACCAGTGACATTATGAAGTCATTTTAGTCACCTTTAATCAAAATTTAGTCAAAAATGAAATGTACATTTCTTTCTGAGTAGTGAAGAAGTAGTACTGAAAATGTAGCAAACAAGAAATGCATTTTTCTAGAAATTATGATTATCAAATTAGAGGGTGAAGGCTTGTTCTCCAAACTTGTGGGTTGGTTTTTGAACGTTTTGTTATCAGGCTAGACCCATCACAAAACCCTGATCTGATGGGACCCCTGCCTGACGTGATCTCACCTTCACAAGACCTACCGACCACACAAAGCCCTTATAAACAGAAGAACACAGACACTGACATCCCTAAACTCTGCTGAAGATGTTACCTAGCCTGATAATGAAATGTTGGGAAACCAACCCACAAGCTCAGAGAACGAACCTTCACCCTCATCCTACACCTGAGCTACAGATACTTGTTACTATTATCAAATTTTCTTGACCAGTTAAGGGAAGTTAATTACATTATTATGGTCAGTAACCAAAGCTGAGTACAATTTAAAGAAAAATTGAATTTAAAAAATGGAATAGGATGCTTTTAAAAAATATACAAAATCACCTGTCATTATTTCACATTATTTTAAATCAGTTCGATTTAAGTCGGATTATTCTATTCCATCTACTTTGGGAGAAGGTATATTTCTTTTTTAATTTTGGTTGTATCTCTCCCTCAGGCCTTTTCCTTTTTAAGGAGATTGATAATTTTTATTTGCAATCCTTGCATTTGTGAAGTTAAAATAATAACGTAATGCATGATATTAAAAGGAACAGATCAATTTACATAGTTTCTAGCACAGTCCTCTGGTGTACGTGTCTTTGAACTATGTTTTAGGAAATGGGGAATGCCCTAACACAGTAGTTCTCAACCTGTGGGTCGGGACCCCATTTGGGGTCGAATGACCATTTCACGGGGGTCGCCAAACAAGGCTGTCCGCCATTTTTTCCCCCTTTTCTTTGGCCATGCCCCTGGCACCCGGTGATGTATAAGTGGTTGGGGGTCACCACAACATGGGGAACTGTATTATGGTGTCGCGGCATTAGAAAGGTTGAGAACCACTGCCCTAACAGCTTTGTCTAGTCTAGAATTAAATTCATTTTTTTCCCCCTAGAACTTAATACTTGAAGAAGTCTGGGACAAGTGTCAAGATCTGAGGCCTGATATCCTCACTGTACTAGCAATAATGATTTAGCAGATTAAGAACTGTGTTGCATTCCAGACATTCTGATTACCAAAGTAATGCTTTTAGCTGAATTGAAATATCACTGATTCCGATAATGTCAAACTAATAATGTCAAACTAAAAATTCAAGAGAAAAGGACTTGCAATTGAATTAATCAAAAGAAATTCTCTACCTAGCAGAGCACTAGAAAAAAATGAAGAGTGATAATACACAGCAGAACAAAAACAAAGCAAAACAAAATGAAAGAAAAGGACTTAAACAGAACTCTATATAACAAACTAATTTAAATTTCAAATACTTCAAACTAGCCTACCTCTGGAAGTAGGAAGGTTATAATTAAATAGGTTTTTAAAGATTTATTAATGAATAAGAATCTGTTTGTTTGTTTGTTTGTTTAATATGCCATCCAAGAAACTAACGTTTTGGTTTTTTTTTAAATTCACAGCAAACGGCTTATCTCCAAATTGTACATTTCATTTTGCTGACGATACGGAAAGTAAGATTGCTTTACCATATGCTCATAATTACATTTTTTTCAAGAAGCAGATTATTTTTTTCAAGTATAAATCCCTGAAATTTGACATTTTAGCTAAAAGTTTCGGGGTTAAATCTTTTGTTCTCGCACCTGTCTCCTTATATTAACTCCCAGTTTCATACTGTCTAATTTCTATTTATTTTCTCCAATCTTGAAGCTGTTTATCTTATAAACTTAAATTATCTTTCCATTTAGAATGATTTCCAGGCCTTTCTTCTGAATTTCCACTGATTCTTTCCTATCTCATTCTTCATTATATCTTTGATAATCTTTAGCTTCTACACTGGACTAATCCACATCTAATGTAAGCTGATGACATTTAATGTCAACGGGGATCAAAGATCAATAGTCTGAATTACTTATGTTGCTTTAAGTGCTGTTAATGTTCTTTCTTAATTAAAACACAGGTAGTAATTGTTTTTCCCCCAAATGTAATCCAAGCAGGAGACAGTGATTCATGGAAGCAATTGAGAGTGTTACAAATTCTCAAAGATCAGTTTTTTTTTCTAGGAGGGGCTGATTTGCAAATCTGGCATGTTTATCAATGGGAATACTTAGGTGGAATAGAGATTAAGTAAGTTAGTTTACTTTTGTCACCACAGGTTATATAACATATATCATAAAATACAGTAACAGTAGAATAGTAAAACTGTAAGATGAAATATTTATTTAAAAAAATGATATTAAATGTAAGAAGGTTAAAACAAGATTTTAAATAATTTTCCTCTTTATATATTGATATATTGTATATTTATAAATGAGGACAGATGAAAATCTCCTTTTATAAATATATCTGATATAGAGAACCATAATTAAATTTTTAAGATAGGAAAATCATCCCTAGTGAGTCTATCTGAAAGGTTTTTTTTTTTTAAAGTGTGTGTGGGATCTTGAAAGAGTCATTTCAGAGAGAATGAAGAGACACTCCACTAGCAGAAGAAAGTTATTATTGTTGACCCTGTTTAATGTTATTGGTGGTTGGAAGAGGAAATAAAATTTGGATTGGCCTGAAAACCCAACAGAATTGAAAAAAAAAAACTGGTTTGGACCACCAGAGGTTCAGTGCTTGGGATGAGGTGTAGAGAGTAAAGAAGATACCTTGTTGGAGATAAGTCAGATCTACTTGCAGAGTAATGAGGCGAAAAGCCCAACTCACGTCGAAAACAATCTGAGGAGAGGAAGAAATAACTTAGACCTGTGTTTCTGAACCTTGGCAACTTGAAGCTGTGTGGACTTTACCAGAATTCCCCAGCCAGCTCTGGGAGTTGAAGTCCACATAGCTTCAAGTTGCCAACTTACACCTGTGTAAGAAATATGGGCATAGTTAGCACAGTCAGACTTAACAAGATTTTTTTTTAGGGTAAACCATCTTAGTAAAATTTATTTTCTTTGGACTTTGTATCTTGGTTTGATCTATACTGTAAGGCTGACATGAAGGGCCACTGTGGTCTACGGGAGTGCTGTTTTCCTATTCAGATCTCTCTACAGGTAGATACCCATCTTGGACAAGAAAGATAAATATTGTTTCCTAGTTATTTGCTTGCCTTAGCTCAGGGGTCTTCAAACTTGGCCCTTTTATGACTTGTGGACTTCAACTCCCAAAATTCCTCAGCCATGCTGGCTGAGGAATTCTGGGAGTTGAAGTCCACAAGTCATAAAAGGGCCAAGTTTGAAGACCCCTGCCTTAGCTGAAGAAGGTAATTTGCTGCTGTGGTTAGATCTTATCCAAAAGGTGTTTTTTCAAAAGACAACTGGATTTTCTTTGGGTTTTTTTTTCCTTGAAGACATTTAGTTTCTCATCCAAGAAACTTCTTCAGTTCTTGGATGTGAAGTGAAACATCTTCAAAGAAAAAAACAACCTTGACCTTGGTGACTGAGAATCTCCATAGACATTTGGTTATATCTTAGTATCCATACTGATACTGCTGCTATTCAGGATGTTCAGAACTTTGTGGCCACCAATTATGGGGTTGTTCCATCACATTTTCAACTTCTTCATCTCTGATATCCAGTATAATGTGACCTGTCATTCGGTATATGAATTTTTTCTTGAGCAGGATATTGGCAACCTAGTAGAGACACTTTATTGCCACACTAAGATAATACTGTATTCAGTTTTGAAGTCATAGTGTCAGCTTTCCTCTGCAAGGGAGATCCAATGGCTGATAAATGTTAACTGAATCCAAATGGGCCAAATAGGGGCCGATTAAGTGGTTGGTACCCAGATACAACTCTGATCAGCCTGGGAAATATGTGTATGATCTGGATTAATACAAGCCCTCCAAAGTGTCTGCTTGGCAATGCCAAGGACATTAGTCAGAGTTCCTTGGGAGATGAGGATGGTGAAGAAACATCTTCACAATCTTATCCAACCACTTTTCTAGTAGTTGGGAACATTTTTGACAATGGACTGTAATATACCTACAGATGTGCTTGGAGAGTTTAGTGTGATACTGAGGGAAAAATTACTTCTGTCAAGCATAATTTGACTTCTATATATTGTACAATTTTGTAGGATGAACTTTGAGTCAGTAGGGCCAAAGTGATAGGTTTCATGTAACCTATGGCTGCACATCTCATGGCAGTGATTCTGAAATGGCCTTCTATCTGATGAGGGTGGGGCAATTAATTGGACACGGGCAGCAATTAGGTTTTTAAAGTAAAGATGAGCCCTGTTTTCTTGAAGGAAGCAATAGACCACCTAGTCCCTAAGAAACCGTCTATCATCTTCTTCAGCAAGATGCTTAAGCATGTGTGGCAGACCAGAGTCAGTCGGCCTTGAGTGAAATTTGTTTTTGGTAGGAAGGGAACCTTTGTTTGAGTGACAAAAACAGAAGTGAGTGATGTTTTTACAAATAGTTCTTGACTTACGATCACAATTGAGCCCAAAATTTCTGTTCTCAGCAAGACAGTTTAATTTTGCCCTTTCTTGCCACAATTGTTAAGTGAACCACTGCAGTTGTTAAGTTAGTAACACATTGTTAAGTGACTCTGGCTTCCCCATTGACTTCGCTTGTCAAAAGGTGATCATGTGACCTCGGGACACTACAACCATCATAAATATGAGACAGTTGCCAAGCATCAACATTTTGATCACAGGATTGTGGGGATGCCGCAAAGGACATAAGTATGAATAATGGTCATAAGTCATTTTTTCAGTGCTGATGTAACTTTGAATGGTCATTAAACGAATGATTGTAAGTCGCAGACTAACTGTATTGGCCTTATATATGTTTTGTGTTATGTTAAAATTATCAGTTTTAGATTTTAATCAACATTATTGGTTTCTCTTTGAAGGTTAATGTGCAGCATTGAGAGAAATCATTCATATAGGAACATGATGGATGTAAACAATAAATAAAATTTGTCACCTTTTTTCTTTCAAGCCTTCTGGCTTATACTTAAACCACTTCCAACTTTTGCCAGTAAAACTGCAGGGATTTGTTCATGTAGGTGTCAGGAGTCAACACTGATTCAAAGGCACAAATAAACCAGATTTTGCAAATCAGTAAGGCATGGGGTAGTTGCAGTTAAGTTCTCCCCATTAGCCTTCAAAATTGGTCGTGATGATTATATTCTAACTTTATCTGGAGTCTCACCTTACCTTACCCTGTTATAATGGGTATTAATTCAGTGTTTGGAGGTGGTAATCAAATTTTACGATGAGGAAATCTATTTTATTTTATGGGATTCCCTTGAAATTGCAGACATTGTCACCTCGGGTATAAATTAGCAGATACAAAGGCAGATTCAGTCAATAATTGTAACTCAGAAAATGAGGCCACAGCCTCCAGTGAGTAGAAAAATGTGCTTCCTTTCTGATTTCTATATTGTGGGTTTTTGGTTATTTTTTTTTTCAGATACCACAGCAGTCACAATTGCAACAGGGGCTTGTATTGTAGGCATTCTGTGTTTGCCTCTCATCCTACTCCTTATTTACAAGCAGAGGCAAATAATTACTAACAGGCGTAAGTATCTGGATTAACCCTAGTTTTTTTTCCATTACTTTGACTATTTCAGTATTCCATATAAAGTGATAAAACTGCCTTTCCTCCCATTTATTACATGCATTATTATATGAATGACATTTTATTTATCATATTTGTATAGCCACCCATATGACATGAAAATCAAAGAGGAAAGAATTAGGATCCATAGTGGGAGATTATGTGTTCCTTCAGTAAGAAATGATTTTGGGGTGGATTCTTCGTTTATTTCTTCCTCCACCAACTATTTTACTATACTGTAGGCAGAAGAAGAAGGCTAGAATTCTGGGAGTTGAAGTCCACAGGTTGTAAAATTGCCATTGTTGTCCACCCCTATAGCGACTCATTCACGCAAATAGAAAATTTCTGTTACTTGGAAGACCTCTTTATGTTGAAGCTCATTATTCCACATCTGGATTTAGCTTGCTTTCAGTATTATATGTATCACTGAATGTCCACATACAATATCTTGTGTTAAAGTAGCACAGATAAGATGCTGATGAAATATATTAGGGTTAAATAATTGTGAACAATTTCTAGTTTCAAAATACACTGCAAGAGAGCTAAATTCTTTTTGTGTTTAGTGAAAACAAATAAAATATGAAACCACAGCATCCTGCCTAGAAAGATCTCTGTTTAGAAATTCTTTAGTGAGGTGATAGTTATATTATTAAAACCAGTTGTACCTGCAATAAAACAAATCAGATTTTGGAATATGAAAGAAATCTGATGTTTGTCCTACTACTAAAAATAATCACTTATCTTCTTCTGATCAAATTTTGCTTCACTTTGCTGTAAAACTATATCGTTGTGTCAAAATATGATGAAACAACCAGTATACCATCAACTAGACTAATCTTTCCTAACTTGAGGACCTCAAAATATGTTGCATAACTCATACTGTTCACACCTTCAATGAACAATTCTTTTGTTGGCTGTTAGTGAAGTGAGTTGTAATCCAGCATGACCTAAACCAGGGGTAGGCAACCTTGACTCTTTTATGATTCATGGACTTCAACTCCCAGAATTCCAGCTCAGGAATTCTGGGAATTGAAGTCCACAAGTCATAAAAGAGCCAAGGTTGCCTACCCCTGACCTAAACGTACCAGGTTAGGAAAGGTTCCTGTGAATACTGTTATATTTTTGATTGACAGAAAATAAACATAGAGTAATAGAGCCAAAGTGGACACTTACTAAGTTATCTTGTTAATAGGTTGTTGCTGGACTTTAATTTTATTGTTCCACATGGTTCTTTTTGACAGGAAATATCTACAGACATTTGTATACCTGTAAAAGCTTCTACATTTAAAACTAAACCTAGAGGAATAGTTTTGGATACAACTTGAATAGTACCATCTGTTCTTTGCAAATGAGAGAGTAGGTAATGCAGATCACTGTGTTGTAATGATTTGGCTGTGTAATATAAATGGGTGAAACAAAGGATTCAGCTCCTGAACACAGTTAAACCATTTGGGTCAAGTATCTGTATGCTATATGAATGAGTACTTTTTACTTGTCTGGTTCAAATCACCAAGCCAACAAGTGTTGGACCAAAGACAATGGAATTAGTTGCTTAGTAAAAGCAAAGCAAACAGTCTCTGCTGAGAAAATAAAAAAGGGTTCTATTCTCTTAAATGTATGATGGTACCCCTAGCTATTGAACAAATCTTGTGGTCAGGAGGATTGTGTTTAACTCAAAGGACTGAATGATACTTAGATTTTTCTGTTCTTGAAATATTGGGATCTGACGGTAGTGAAGCTTGACTACCTACTCTTCCTGTAACAAAATTGCATTTACTTTTGCAGGTGCTCATGAACTCGTAAGGATGGATAGGTAAGCAAGTCCCCTTAATTGTACCATATATCTGTTATTCCACTAGAGCAGGGGTGTCAAACTCGCAACGTCATATGACGTGTCGCAATGTATCGTGACTTTTTTTCCCATTGCCGGCAATGGGGTGGGCACAGTTTTGGTATGATGCATCTGGCATCATATGATCCACGGGCTGGCAGTTTGACACTCCTGCACTATAGGGCTTGCAAAACCACTTTGTGGGTGATACAATAAATTAAGCCTTATCAAACAAAAATAATCAAACCAATTTCAAAAGTCTCCTACTTATAAAAGTCTGAAGGATGCTTGTCTAACAGGTCTGCTTTAAAGAGGAATTCGACAAGAAGATACTAGTGATAAAAACATCTCAGCTGTGAGAAACATGTTTCCATTGATGTCTGGCACAGAGCCTGTTCACATTTTTTAAAAGAATGCTGACTTACCAAAGCTTTTCATCTAGGCTACGTTGCTCCCTGAGATAAAGTAAAATTTCCTTTGAGTTGCACTGTTTCCTAGTAACTTCATAGACATGTCCATATCATACAGGTAGTCCTTGACTTATGATCACAGTTGAGCCCAAAATTTATGTTAAGTGAGAATTTGTTAAGTGAGCTTTGCCCCATTTTACAACATTTCTTGCCACAATTGTTAAGTGAATCACTGCAGTTGATTAAGTTAGTAACCTTGTTGTTAAGTGAATCTGGCTTCCCCATTGCCTTTGCTTGTCAGAAGGTTGCGAAAAGTGATCACATGACCCTGGGACGCTGCAGTGGTCATAAGTATGAACCAGTTGCCAAGTATCTGAATTTTAATTGCATGATCATGAAGATACTGCAAAGGTTGTAATTGTGAAAAATGGTCATAAGTCACTTTTTTCAGTGCTGTTGTAACTTTGAATGATTACTAAATGAACTGATGTAAGTCAAGGACTACCTGTATTTTTTAGCAACAATTCAAAAGTGGTTTGCTATGGACTCATTCCAGAAAGTTTTTTTCAGTTGATTCTAACTTACAACTCTGATGTTTCCCAGAGAGTTCTCATCTAAGTATTAATGGGATCTAGTTTTCAAGCCCAGATAAGGTCACCCAGATATTGGCACCTCCTGAGATACTTCTTCTTTTTTTTTTTTCAAAACAATTTTTATTAGTTTTCCATTTTACACCAACACTCCTGAGATACTTCTTGAGAAACTCTGGGACTATGCCATTTTGGATGTGAAAAGTCAAGATAGTATCTTGAAATTAGTTGGAAATCATTTTTTCCTAAAATTGGCATTATTTGATCTATGATTGCTTAGCAGTTGATGGATGGAAGCTATGGGACAGAAATTATCAACCAATCATCTCTTCTCATTGCTTCATGAAGAATGGTGAATTGGCGAGTAAGGTCCATATTGTACATTTATAGGAGGATTCTCTCTTTCTCTCTCCTTCTCATGCTCTTCAAGGACAGCTGTCAAACCCATTAACCTTTTTCATCTATTACCTTGGAGGAAAATAAGATGATTGTAATGACTTGAAAGAGATGAAATAGAAAAAGACTAAGAGTCAGCATTAGGATATTATGGCAGTCTAATTTTCAGCTGACATAATAACTTTATCCCAGCGATTGGGGAAAACCCTAATTTGAATAAGGCAATATTCTCAGTGCAGACATAATGCAGAGCAGGCCTGTTACTATAGAAGAAAACAAAAAAAGCTCTGATTTACTTTTTGTCTTAGGCCTTCACTGATTTAGTCAGAAGCCTGTCCATCATCAGCTTTTTCTAGGCATGGTATGACATTATTAAAGCCTTTACTTAACCATTCTATTTTTCAGCCCCCCAAATAATAAAAAAAGACTATTGATGGTGTCAGTGTATAAAAAGTAAAGGTTTCCCCTGTCCAGTCATGTCCAACTTTAGGGGGTGGTGTTCATCTCCATTTCTTAGCTGAAAGCCAGCAAAGACACTTCCATGCGGCCAGCAGGATTATACATTGAGGCGCATGGAACACTATTACTTTCCCACCTAACTGCTACCTATTTATCTACTCACATTTGCATGCTTTCAAACTGAGCTGGGACAAATAATGGGCACTCACTCCATTGTACTGTGCTTGGGTCTCGAACCTGGACCGTCAGCTTTCCATCTGATAATCTCAGTGTCTTTAAGTGCTGAGCCACCATGCCCCATGGCAATATGTTACGCAGAGGGTTATTTTTTAGGATATAAATTTAGCTTAAAATACTAATAGATTTCTAATTGGTTTCTATCTCACCCATTTTCTGATCCCTCAACATATCTCATATTGCACCATCTTCCTATCAATAGCACAGATTAAAAATATTTTTTTGTATTTATATCAATAGTTTTCTGACATTATACTTTAAAGAGACTGGAATGCTAGGAATGGAAAAGGATGGGACTTGAGCCTGATGAGATTATCCAACTGTGCTTTCTTTTGCAGCAACACCCATGGCATTGAGAATCCTGTCTTTGATACCATCCCTGACATAGACTCAGAATCCAGGATCAGGCCACAGTTATCATTCATGGCCAGCCGACAGGCTTCAGAGTCAGATCGACACCTTCTTTCAGAGCCAAATACTCCTCTCTCACCTCCAGCCCCAGGAGAATGTTTCTTCCCATCACTTGGTAAGTATTTCATTGCAGGGTGAGTGCAGGCTAATTGCTAGCAGCAAACATATTGTAAGGACCCACCCCACTTTGCATCTTAAGAAGACAGAACTCTTGGAATAACTCTTCCAACAGGCATCCTTTATTAAGAGAAAATGGTTGCAGGCATTCTAGACAGGACTTGTGGTCCAAGCTCTCCCATTCAAGGTTTTAAGGGGTTCCCCAGTAGCCCCACTCAATCATCCCCCTCTTCCAGCGACAGTCTCAGGCATTACACTCCCACCCCCTTTTCCTTACTGCCGGCTGGATGGAGACTTCAAAGAAAACTACATGAAAGGTAATAGCCCCATTCTTATGGTTAGCTCTTTTGGCAATACACATATCCAGTTCCTTTGAAGTGTACCGAAGGAAGTGAGGGCCATAAAGCCCCTTTGTTCACCCTTTTCCCTTCATCATATGACAGAATCCAGAGAAGACAGAAATGGGGTTTTTTATAATTGATAACTAGAGATGAAATATAATTGGATTCTGACACATATCTCAAACTACATGGGTCTCTTCCGTTGGTGAAAAACTTTCTTTCTTTCTTTCTTTCTTTCTTTCTTTCTTTCTTTCTTTCTTTCTTTCTTTCTTTCTTTCTCTCTCTCTCTCTCTCTCTTTCTTTCTTTCTTTCTCCCACTTCACACAAAGTGACTCTGGGTGGCTTACAATGTTAAAACGAATAAACTATACAAAAACATGTATATCATAAGAATCTTCTTTTTCCTAGCATTATTCCTGCACTACAGCAGGGTCCACTTTATATATAATAAGATATTACATCTATATAAGAATGTAATAATATATAATAAGAATTAAATACTGCAAAAATACAAATTATCAGCTATAACTAAAATATGGGGAGGGAGGGAATAGGATGAGTGGGGGGGAGGAGGCTGGATCTATTATTAACCTATCAATCAACTTCCAGTGTGATACTTCCCCCACTGGAGCCCCAGGCCAACTGGCAGAGACAGGTGAGGGGAGCCAATCTCACTGTGGGGGGGGGAGAGAGAGGCAGGGGTGACAAGATATTCCAAAGGTGAGGAGTGAGGGTAGAGATGGCTCTACATTTGACCATTTATTATGCATTGGGTTAAAGTTAAGAGAAGAATATTAATATTATTAATATTTTTAAAGAATATTGATTATTACTATTTTAGTGTACTTTAAAGATTAGTATTTGTTTAAAATTAGTAAGGTTGATGCAATGTTATTATATCTTCTAAAACTCTCATTATTATTATTTGTTTGAAGCAAATTCCCTTTCCTTTTACCTTTTATGTTAATTTGTATTTTAATGTTCAACTGTGAAATTTAATATAGTCTGAAATAAAAAAATACAGTCATACATGATGAATATATAGAAGAATGTCCTAAATCTTCTTAAATGTTTTGTGCCCCCAATTGGACAAATATAATTCTTCTACTCTAAGGGTTTGTGCTGTGAGCAAAAACCTTCAGTTAGGTTGCAAATTGGAATCAAATTATTTCCATTGGAGTTGGCAAAAAGAAAGCATTCAGATGTTAGTACCCCTAGAGATGTTTCTTAACCTCTCTGTAAGATAATGCTACAGCTGCCAGGGTTCTTTTAATTTCAAGAGTATTGGCTTCAAGTAAAACAATAATGACTCTTGTGGCACTTTCTATGTCAACAATATTTGTGGACTAGCTCCCACACAACTGATGCAGAACTAACAGATAAATGTCCTCTTTCTTTGCTATATATCAACATAGAATCACAGGGTTGGAAGGGATCTTGGAGGTCTTCTAGTCCAACCCCCTTCCCGAGGCAAGAGTCCTTATACAATGTCAGACAATGGTTGTCCAATCTTCTTGAATTCAAAATGCAATTTAGAGTGCACCTAATGTCATTTCATAAAAGCTTATACTATGATAAATAGGTTGGTTTTTAAGCCAGCAGAAGATGGTATTACTTTTGCTGCTGCAGGGGACACCAGACAAAGAATTCTGTAGACTGATTGTGGTTTCAGAGGCATTTAATGGGAAAACGACCACTGTTCCCATTTATTGGTGCCATTTTCCCCTTTACTTTTAATTGTCAGGTGGCAAGAAATGGGCTAAACAGTCTTCACATTTAAATAACTAATACCACAACAAAATCTAAGTTGTATGTATTAATTCATATGGTTAATATTTTCCAGATCCTGTTCCTGATTCACCAAATTTAACAAAGGAATAATCAAATAAAGGAAGATTGTTGTATTCTGAATTTTTAACAGCAATATGAACAAGGCTTACTATTTGCTCCTTTAAAGGAGAAAGAGAGGCAGAGAAAGAAGGAAACAAATGTGAGAAGTTTTTAGAAGACTGTTTTCTAAAGTCTTGGGAGTTGCTTTTTGACTATCCTAATATTTCAATATTACTGCTGTTCTCTGATTTCTGAAACAATTCAATGTGGAGAATATGGACGACAAGGAAATATTGTACTCTCCTGGAATTCTGCAAGCTTTTTGTTTTACTTCACTGAATTGTTGACCATTTTATGAACAGTTACTGAAACGTGTTTCTAATGTGTTGTATGGATCAATTAGAACAAGACCATGTTACATGTCTTTTAACTATAAGGGATTATGAATAGCACCGAAAGCCTTGCTCTGCATTCAGAATGCCTTGGTTCCATAGAAACAGAAACAATATTTTTTTTACTTTGCTTATATATCCTTTGAAAGACAGTATGTTTGCACATGTTTTAACATAGTGATAAGATGCTTTACTTGTATCCTGTCCTGAAAAGATCAGAACCCAAATGAACTATCTTTGTATTTCACTCTAGTTCTAATTCAGTTTTTTCTTTGCTCTCTTTTTATTTGCTAATGACTTAAATCTAGATGAAGGTTCCCAATTGCATATCTTACACATAAATGTTAGTAAGATCATGTGGAAAACCATGAAGGATAATCATGTTAGAACATAAAAAGTGGATTTCAATTTAGCTCTGCTGAACAACAGTTTGCTTTTACAAGCTGTTTCAAAAATGTTTTAAAGAGAGTTTTAAACAGCATTATAGATTTGGTACATTTTGTTTAAATGATAATTGTATGTCATTTTGATATAATTTGTCTTGTGCTTAGTAAATGTTTATGGCTAAGTAGCCAGAGGAAATGATTTAAGTGAAGGATCTTTCCAGTTACTGTATGTATCATTGATATAATTCATATTGATATCTAAGTTAAGCTGTCTGAAGAAAAACAATGTTTTTAATTGGGTAGAAAGTACAAGTAATTTTTGTCAGAGATACAAATTGTCCAACAGTAATCAGTATTTAGAGTTGTTTAATCCTAGTTTCCAAACAAGAGAGTAGCCATTCTGTTTAGCTTCAGTCTAAATCAGTCTTTTTCATCATCAGCAACTTTAAAACCTGTGGACTTTAATTCCCAGAATTCCACAGCCATCATGCCACCAAGTTGCTGATATTGAGAAACACAACTCTAAATACAGGAAACTCTTATAAAGAATGGGTGATGTTTTCAGTGTGTCAGGGATTTCACAAACATACAACAGCCAAGACCAGTCAAGTTACACTGATGCCTAAGAAATGCCTTATCCCTGTCTGGCAATAACATTACAACAAAGATAAATTACATAGTAAACTATTTGTAGCAGTTTCATTGACAGCTGCTTGACATTGCTTAATCGTAGGGCCAATTCTCTCCTTTTTTTGATGAGGTACGATTCATTTTTCTCTTGAACTGTTTTTGAAAGAATTACTGCAGTGTCTTCTGTTGTTATGTGTACTCTGACAAGCTACACTTTATTAAAACTCATCCCTACCGAATGCATGAAATATTCCTGAATTGTATGTACCCAGTAAAAAAATGAGGTGTTCAGGCTGTTCACCATTAAAGATCCGTTTAAGTAGAAATTTTCGCTTAAGAACAAAAATTAAAGGCAAAAAAGAGGTTAGCTAATTAATTATATGAAGAAATTGTATTTTCAAGTTGTTATGCTTATTTCCTCCTGCTTGGTGATTACTTATCATGTGTACAAGAAACTCTTCTGACTTGCCCTCTGAACAGGTTCATTGTTTTTTATTTTCTGTTTTCATAAGTTGATATAATTAAGATTTAATATGGCTATTATTTTTCCTTGGTGACAAAAATAACAAGATCCATTTTTCTTTTGTGATGGAAAGAGCAATATGCAGTAAAAAGAAAAACTCAAGCTGAGTCCATGTGCTCTTAGCTATAAGTGATCAAATTAATAAAAATATATCTTATACTGCCTTGGTGTAAAATAATTTGGCTTCCTTCCCAACCTTTTCATGGGAAATATCTTCATGAGACATGTAGTCTTACAAATTAGGCTGCAATCCTAAATACTTTGTATTTTAGATACATTTCATTAGACACCATGATTTTCTTCTGAGTTAACACATATGTTGCATAAATTGTACACTAAAGGCCTAACTTCTAACAGCTAAAACTACTACACAGTTACCTTCAAGTTTCTGATCCCCCTCTTTATATATAGTAAGAGAACTTGACGAAGGGGAAAAAAGTGAGCATGCTATATTTTCATTTGCTCTGCTGGACCTACATATCTGTATCTACCTGAAGAAATCAAATATGATACAGAATAAGAGAAACTATTAAGGCTATGCAGTGCTTTGGATCAAATTTCCAAAAGGTACTTTGGGCGTATAGGAGCCCAGAGTAGCATTTATTTGTAACCCCTTCAAACAATCATGAGTTTCCCCAGGTTTACATGCTTTTGGGAGATGGAATGTGAACTACTGGACAGGCTTAGTGACTCCAATAGTAAGAGAGTAGATCTTAGTGATTTTACAGCTCATAGTAGAAACATATAATAGTTTGATTTGACCTGTTAAAGATGACAGTCTTTTTAGTAAGTGAGCATTGTATGATGAAAAATATTTTGTAACTGGCACTCTTGACCAAAGACATTTCCTCAGTCATAATCCACAAATCTCCAGTAAGAAAGTGACACATCAGTAGCTGTAAACCAGTGTTTTTCAAACTTTAAGACAACTTTAAGATGTGTAGACTTCAATTCCCAGAATTCTCCAGCCAGCATGTAATATATATTTATTCAGCAATAATCAAACCACTAAAGATAAGGGGGCAGAGACATACAAATGGCCATACTTTGGGCTCCAGGCTACTTGACAGACCGTCTCATCTAAGTGGGCTTGGCCCACCTCACCCATACTGGCAGGGGAGGTATGCTGCAGACCCTGTCAATCTTTTGAGTATTCTGGCTAGCTGGGTCCAGGAGAAGGGCCTTCTCTGCCGTTGCACTTGCCCTCTGGAACATCTTTCCCCCCTGGAGTGAAGTCAGCTCCATTCCCGCTCAAACTTCCATAACAGCTCAAAGTCCTGGCTCTGCCAATTGGCTTGGGGCTCTAATGGGGGAGCATCACAGTGGAGATCCCAGTTCCCCCCCCCCATCCTGCTCTCACCTTCCTCATATTTAATTGGGCTGCAATGTTTAGCTTTATATATTAACTTTTATATCTTTTAGCTTACAGTTTTTATCTTTTATGATTATAAGCTGCGCAAAATTGCCCTGAGGTATGATGGGCAGCCAATAGGTTTTTTTATTTAAAAGTTTTATTTTCCATTTATCAATTACATAAATATAAAAATTCACATTTAACAAAATAAAATAAATTCATACGCATAACCATAGGTGTTGCTTGCCAATAGTTTACCAATAAATTAAAAAAAATTGTTTCCTATTTTGAAATTTAATGTAACGTTTAATGTAAGATTTAATCAACTTTCAGGGTTTCAGTGCCAGCCATTTTACAAATAAACTTATTGCTGTTCATTTCTTCCCCTTTGGGTTGCCATTCATAACAAATATACTTTGGGGAGTAAGGATGAAAATCAGATATGGGTAGATTATTTGTCTGCAATCAATATAAAAAATACAGAGTAAACATTCTTGGAGTGTGCAGTGGCATTAGGAAAATTAAAAAGTGTAGGAAAGTATAATCAGGGTTCTTAGTGTAATAATTAGATTGAGACAATACAGTAAAAGAAGGATATATGCTATGAGTTATCTTATAAAATTTACAATAAATGAATAGAGTACTATAAGTAATTTCTTGTATTTATTGCAAATGATGGCTTGCAAAACTGAAAAAATCTGCGGTGTAGTGTAAATATATAAATACAATTTCCTGTATTTATTGCAAACCCATGATGGCTTGTAAAATTAAAAAAAAAGTGCACTGTATTGTAACTATACAAATACAACATAAAACAAAGATAATAAATCTAACAGCAACATGAAATTAAAACATCCACAGTGAAAAAATTCAGTTATCACCCAAGTTCAAATTACAATCATTATACCTACCATAAATAAAAACCCAAATAGTTAAAAATAAATACATTCTGTAGATCTCATTGAATTCAACAGTGCAAATTTACTAATGTTTAGGATCATCAAAAGTTATTAAATAAAGAATTAGATAATGTATAATGTATCTGCTGCCTATTTTGAATTCAATATTTAAGTAAACCAAGAAGAAGCCAAGAATTATAATAGCTCTTCCATCAAAAGAAATTATTTATTTAACTGTGATGCTTGTAAACAAATAACAGACAGCTAATGGGGCAGATTCTGAAATGTATAAATTCCCCCAATGCATTAGCATAATGTTAGTATCTTCCAAATAGTTAATTCCATATTCAAATGATAGTTCTATTGGGCTCACAAAAGCAACATATAGTTCGACACTGGTAATTATATATTTTAATTTGTGCTAAAAATGCAAGAAATATGCACTATTGAACTTGTTAAGATTTACTTCCAGCAAGCTTGCAATGAGTTGAACTGAGCTAGCACAACACTGGAGGTAGAATCGATCAAAGGAGTATTTAAAACTGGATTGAAAATATTAAATCTGCATTCTCAATGCTCAGAGGTTCTTTGGAGTTTGCAGTACAGAAATATTGAAGTAAAGAAAGAAAGGGAAAAAAAGAAACAGTTGAGAGATGCTTGATTCTTTCCATGTGATTTATATACATATTTGGTCTTGAATGTTGGTAATGCATACAAGGATGCTTTACCCTCTTATGAGAATTAAATAGTGAGGAGGTGTCAGAAAATATCGGGAAATGAAAAGCCAACATAAAAAACTTTACATGCATACTTTAATCTTCAATTTGTACCAGGTATACCTTTACCTCCCTATCATCTGAATAAAGCATACTAAAGAACCCTTTTCCTGTTTTTAAGTAATGCAAAAGTACATTTTACAAAACACCAATGTAGATGACATTATTGAAACTTGAATTTAACCAAAAGTTCATGGAATTAAGGCAATGTAGGCACTACCCCTGAGAAAATGATTATTTCATTCTGTTTTGGGACTCCATCTAAACCATCCACGGGAAATCTGCAAGGCGAAACTCACTCACTTCCTGGTAAAAAAATAAACTAAGCCACCTATATAAGTGTGTGAAGGACTGCATATTATTCTATACTATATATTCTATATGGAACAGTCGAGCTTGTATTTTCATTTCTAAATGAAAACGAGAAAATAAAGAGGATGATGCTTGGGTGGAAATGAAACAACACCAAGAACTAACGTTGAAATGAAACCGAACTGCAGTTTCAGGTTACACAACACATATTCTGTGCATAAACCTGACTCAGTGATAACCCCCAGATTACAATTAAACAGTTACTTTTGTAAATCCAATCAATTACTGTCTTCATTACGTATCTCCAATTATGCTATCCTATGATAGCCTGAAGCTGGGAACCAAGCTAAGGATTTGAAACTTCTTTGAGCAAACAATACACAACTTTTGCCCCCAAAGTTATCTTTAAGATTTAGCAAGCATCACAAGTTTTACACAAGCAATGCACATTTTATAAAGAAGATGCAAATTCCTAAGCTTACAAGAAGGTATAAGAAGTAACACAGAAGCTCTTAAGCTTAAGTATGGGTTAAAGATATTAACCTAGCATTTTCTAAATAAGTTTCCGGTTTCAGTAGTAGATTGGGCTAAGCAAAATGTCCATATTTTTCATAGCCATTTTTCATGACCCAGTAACTTGTGCTTTCAACAGTTCCCAACTGCACTGTCAGTTCCTACAGTAAGTGTAAATTTCATATAGCCATTGCCTACCGAGAGGGCTGGGTTGCCTTCATCCTCCACAGTAACCACCAGCTGATAGAAATGTTGTCGTTCACGGTCCGGAGGGGAAGGACGGGTGGCGATTTCTCCAGTCACTCTATCCATGCGGAAGGTCAGTTCTTCATTGCCATGGACAATGTAGTAGGAGAGGACACTATTGAGGCCACTGTCCCTGTCGGTTGCTCGTACCTGAGCCACAGCAGTCCCTCCACCCACGTTCTGTGCAAATATTAGACAGAGGGGTTGGGAGAAAGAAAATTAGGCCCCAGAAGAAGTAACACTGGAGTTTACACTAAATTCAAACCTAGGGTTTGTGGAGAAGGAATGGCAGAACCTGGGGATGGAATGAAAAGAGGTATCAGCCTAGAGCAGTGGTCTCCAAATTTGGCTACTTTAAGACTTGTGGAGTCAACTCCCAGAATTCCTCAACCTGAGGAATTCTGGGAGTTGAAGTCCACAAGTCTTAAAGTGGCCAGGTTTGGAGACCCCTGGCCTAGAGTCCCTACCTAGTCACAATCCTCCTTGAATGCTATTGACCTTATCTAACTCTCCGCAGGTGCTGGCTGTTAACTGAGAAGACTCTTGTGCATAGGCCAGGGGTCTTCAAACTTGGCCCTTTTATGACTTATGGACTTCAACTCCCAGAATTCCTCAGCCAACGTGCCTGGCTGAGGAATTCTGGGAGTTGAAGTCCACAAGTCATAAAAGGGCCAAGTTTGAAGACCCCTGGCATAGGCTGTGTAGCAATAAATCAGTTTAATTGAATCTTCACATGTGGATCTGGTCTTTTGAGCCTGACAAGTTTGACAAAGGCTAACACAAGTAGTTCTCAATTTACAACCATTCATTTAGCGACTGTTCAAAGTTACAAAAGCACTGAAAAAAAGTGACATGACCAATCCTTGCATTGTTGCAGCATCCCCATGGTCATGTGATAAAATCTCAAGTGCTTTGCAACCAGCATGTATTTATGCTAGTTCCAGTATCCTAGGGTCAAGTGATCCCCATTTCAACTTCCAACAGTAATTCGAATCTGTCTTTTTCATCACATTGTATTGCTTTATTATACACATCCTGTTGATAGGTCTCTATTACAGAATA